AGCGAGTTACTGTGCAGGTTTTGAACACGCCACCGTTATACTAATTGCATTTAGAGACATTATAATCTCTGTTATTAATTTTGCAGTGTCTTTAGGTGAAATTATTTAAATAATTCTGTTGTTATCTTTGTTGTTAGATAACATAAGAGATGTAAATAGAATGTAAGAGGGAGTAAACTGGCAATATTTCTAAAATATCTGAACCAATAACGGCAAATAAGGTTAAACAAATGAAACCCTTTGCAAAAATTATTTCATAGCATCTTAGGTTGGCATGGTCATTCAGAGGATTAGAAATTACTAAATAAAATGAAAAACAATTTATTTCAAGGAATTGGTGACAAAACAGAAATGTAGAACTGTTTGTATTTTCTCTCCTGTGTCCAAAGATAAAACCATAATTAGATAGTTAAGCATCCAAATAAAAGTGCTCTAATTTTTCTAAGAAGCCAATTATCCTAAAATTCCACTAAAATCACAGTAAACTAAGTCTGTTCATCACCTTTCATGTGTCATTTAGTTGCCAAAATAATCTTTAGCTCTTACCTTTAGGGACTCAGGTTTGAAATGACTGGATTCAGGATGTTGGCCTTCTGCCCTGCTCCTTGCAAGATCGTATGACACAAATTTGTTGTGGTCAAAGTTTGTCGGGTCTTCTCTACCCACGAAGCATATCAATCCCGGGAAGGACAGCTACAAATTCCAGATGAAACATTATCATTTATAACAATTTTAATTCAACAGACTTTGGGCTTTTTATTCTAATCAAGAGTCATCTGTGAACAGACTGTGTTGTTTACCAAATGTGTGTGTTTGTTCAAAATTTACCAGCTGGCTAGGTATTGATCAGATTCCCCAACCAAAATGTTTTTACATTTCTTTCCATCCCAAATTCCTTCCTGCCCTAGCCTTCCTGAGGACTGCAAACAAGTAGTCCTTTGTGCTTAATTTCTTATTGTATATTAACATAGACTTTTCCTATCTTTACTTTATACATCAAAGTTAATTCATTTCTAGCCATAATTCTGAATGTTTAGTTTTTCTTAATTTCAGTTTGTCAAGTGAGATTGCAGCAGTCCCCACTCTGCTCTCGGGAGCGCCGTTAGCTCCACACCGACCTCACAGCAAACGCACTAGGCTAAATTCATGGCTGCTTGGCAGTCACGTCCTCCTGAGTACCCGGCTGGAGCTCCTGTTAGTTAGATGTGAGGCACGTTATGGTAAAAGGAAAGACTCACCGTGAGTGTCATGCAATTTTGGTCTGTCCTCTCTTCCTTCCCCCTCTTCTTAGCTATTACTTTTAGCAGCGTTGGGAGCATTTTTCAGTTGTGTGCAGTCAGGGTGTGGTGTTTGGGGCAGGGGGATGTTTGGTTTTTTGTTTTAGTGGTATATGTGTGTATATACCCTCTTCCTCTTTCAACTTTAAGATTGACTGACAGAAATGACGACTAAAACCAAAACTATGATAAGAAAAAATGACCCAGACTATTGAGGAACTGTTAAAATGACATTATTAAAGGAAGATTTGCATTGCATCCAATACAAAAATAAGTAAGTATGAAATTTAGGACACCTGAATTCTTCAAGGTCATTCAAAAAAGTAACGGCCTAATTTGAGTGACTTCAATTAATCCAGTACTCACATGGCTTACAATTTTTCTTTGCTTAGTGAAAGCTAAGGTCCCTAAAATAAAACAACAAAAAAATAAGAAAGCTAACAAAATACTTTTCTATTTTTAATGTTAATAAACCCTAGTGTTCAAATTAGTCTTTGTAGATCAATGGCATTTTTTCCAAAGGATGAGAGAGGAAGGAAAAATAAAAGTTTCACAGTCCAGAGTTATGCTTTGCCCTTCGTTACATTTCAAAGACCTACTGAGGAAAAATACAACTTTAGAGAGAAGCTCCATAACAAACATAATATAGTTCTTGCATTTATTGAAAAGCTGTCCTATGAAAATATTGATTCCCTCTGTTTTGTCTCTGACTGAACATAATTACATGATTTCATTTCTTTTAAAAATACCACACATTTCTTACTGAGTGTCATAAGTGAATTTTTACAAGCTCCAATGCATAAGTATATCGATAACTTACAATGATGAAAATGAAATAAATTGGATTTTGACTGCAGGAAGTTAAGTTTAGGTAAAGCATGGCTTCTTATGCTGGATTTACTGGAAAATGTCTTATTTACACATAGGGATGTTTATATTACTGATCTGTAGATAATTCATTACCATATGATGCTTCACATGTTGCTTTCCACTACAGTACAATTATTTCTCCAGGTGATGTTCAGGCAGTCACCTCTATGCTTGGAGCCTTAGTGTAAGCTAGATGTTCACCCCTAATTAGTCAAAAGCAAATCCTCCCACCGTCAAATATTTATTCTCTTTGAAGGTATGCATATTATACTGGAATATGAGAAACCAAATGCAGGCTTTGCTGAGTTAAAACATACTTGAGGGAAATGCCCTCTTTTTAAAGATCGGCAAGTTCTGTTACACTTAGTTTTCTACCTCTGGCAGCCGTTTGAATGCTTGCCTCAGGAAACACATCCGAATGCTATCGTTATCTCCTGCCAGTGTCACTGATGTTTACGTTCCTTTTTTTTTTTTAACAAATTGAGAAAGTAAGGAGGTATCTGAGATAAACTCGCAGGTAGAAAACAGTTGATGGTGAGTGCTGTGCACTATCAGTCACTTCGAGATCTCTTCCATGAATTGCTGCCTAGAAGCTGCACAAGAAAGAGGGGGCTGCCATGCCCAGCTCAGCGGCTTTCTGCCTCTCTTTCACATAGGGATGGAGAACATGTTCATTTTCTATCTGCAAAAAAACAGAATCAGTGATAAATTCACAGTGTGTTAATCCCAAGGGACTAATCAGCAGATAAAACAGGCCTAGAGATAGTATATTCAGACTGCACATTAACATATTCAGGCAACAGACATCTAGCCTATGCCGTACGTACTCTGTGCAGTGAGGGTACGTGTACCGGCATACTCTCTGCTTCCCTGGGTAAGTATTGTGTCAGCTTATATATAAGGTTTCTGTTCTTTCTGTGTTTCTGAACATGGATCTGAATGGTGTTGGTTTCAACATATTCAGGCAACAGACATCTAGCCTATGCCGTACGTACTCTGTGCAGTGAGGGTACGTGTACCGGCATACTCTCTGCTTCCCTGGGTAAGTATTGTGTCAGCTTATATATAAGGTTTCTGTTCTTTGTGTTTCTGAACATGGATCTGAATGGCTTTGGTTTCATGCGATGAACCTTCTCCTGCAAAGAAAGTGGCAGATATGTGGCCTCTGGGAAATGTTTCTCCAGCTGCTCCTTGCTTGGTGGTGCTGGTGGTGAATGTATGGCAGTGAGAGGAGCACATGAACTCATTCAGTCAGATTATGCTGTTTTCACAGGGCTTTTCTAATTCACCATCACAGCGGTTTGTGATGTTCAGCTCATCTGGAAAATAGTTACTGAAGCAAGATTTTCTTGCCTGGTTGCAGTGAACGCCCTGTGTGAGGGAGACCCAGAGAGAGCAAGCTAGATGTCCCTGCCTTTGCGATCTCTGAATTTTGGGGTTGTCCTGCACAGAGGCAGGAGCTGGACTCAATGATCCTAGTGGGTCCTTTCCGACTCAGGACATTCTCTGATTCCATGATCCTAACAAACGCTCGGTTGACATTTCCAAGTTGTAGGGCAAATGAACTGAGAAGACCTACCGAATCAGAGCCTTTTCCAACGATAAACGTAAGGATGGTCTTCGTGGTTTGATTTAAAAGCCATATCATATCTACATTAGGGGAAGGAGCTATTGTTTAACTTGAAAGTTTCAGTGGATTTGCAGATTTTCCTCTTTTCTTCATATTAAAATGATAACTGTCTTCTCCAACCTGGATTTGAGAAGTGACGGTTAACACCTAGTCTCTCACACATCCTACTACCCCAGCGCAGACAAGGTGTTACTTAGACAAAGTAACAGAGACCGGATTGCAAATGCCTGTGAAACACCGAGTAGCGTGGGAGTTCTACAGATAAAAGCATCTTGCGGTTAGGAGCATATTGCAATAGAATGACTCAGGGGAGAGGAAAGAAAACAGGGAGGTTTCTTACTCCCAGGTCCCTGGGGACCACTGCAGTACAGGTCTGCCGTGACTCGGGGTCGGCGCTGACGGCATTCCCCGGCTCGTGATGGGAAGCCAGGGAACGGGCCGGGACCCAGCGGGGTCTGATGTGAAATGTGACCACAAATGGCATCCTCTGGCAGTGCCTGCACATCAGCCGATCAGAGCTGCAAGCTGTGTGTGGGGAAAACCCTCCCTGCCGTGTTGTTCTCGATCAACAGACAGAGACTGCAAAGTCTGCTCACACAGCGGTTACATAAAAAGTCTTTTAGCGTTACGAACTTTGTTTGACTTTCTGTAGCAATCCTAAATTGGCATATCTACTACTACTACTTTTAGCTAAAATTATTATTTCTGATAACTTGAGAAGTGATGCTAATTTAGGTTGTTTGCTTATTAACACTGAAAGGGACATTGTGATCTTGGCCCTCAAAAACATGAGATTTTTTTAAAAAAAAAATTATCCCTAACTGTGACAAAAAGTCAAATTTACAAGCAAATTGCTTTTAAAAATTGTTTTAGCTGAAATGCTAGATGCTGGGCTGTTTAACCCTTCTTCGCGTACGTAACACTGTGGAATGACAAGGAAAAAATCCAAAAAGAACAAATTAAAGCTGACAATTTTATTAAAATGGTGCTTTTTCATGAGGCATTTCACTTTGAATGAAGTAAAGATTTCTAGGAAAAAAAGTACATATTTTTTTAATGTTATTAAAATCCCTGGCTGGCACCTTGTTTACGCTTCTAAAGAGAAGCATATATTTCTTCTTATAAGAGAAATAAGAAAATCCCTTTTTATATCTCATTGCTTTTTCATATTTTCATGTTATTTCATCTTTGTTTATAACAACACTTGTTTCTTACTATTTTAGGCAACGAGAGCCTAGAAGAAAATTATGTGCAGGACAGTAAAATGGGATTTGTCATCAATGCTATATATGCTATGGCTCATGGACTACAAAATATGCATCATTCCCTTTGCCCTGGACATGTTGGGCTGTGTGATGCTATGAAGCCAATCGATGGCAGCAAGCTCTTGGAGTTCCTCCTGAAATCCTCATTCATCGGTGTTTCTGGAGAAGAAGTTTGGTTTGATGAAAAGGGAGATGCCCCTGGAAGGTAAAGAGACATTTCATCTCAACTGATTCAACCACGTGTTGGGAAGGGGGTATGTTGCTGGGTTTGGTGATGGAGATTTCTTTGGCTGTTTTGCTGAAGCATACCGCATGCTTACTGCGAGATGTAAATGGAGTTATCTGGATTAGTCTTACCAATAGCCAGGAATACCAGTGGTAACACATGATATATTGATAGCTACAGCTCATCTTGGGGCAGGAACTACAGTACAGCCTGCAAAATTTCTAGTGTTTCAGGAGAGGACAAACCTTGTATCTCACAGACTTTTTGTGTCTCAGGTAGCACTGGGGCTCAGCACAAGGGTTTTGATATGTATAAAGCCTAATGTGAGTGATTGAAATTTAAGGAAGCATTTGCTTGCTGAAGTTTTGAAGCTAGGACTGTAGAGCACGTCTTTTTCCAACCAGACCTCTCCTGCATCCTTGCCAGAGACTATTCAGTTCTACTTGGCAAACTCCTGCATGCTCTCCTTAACTTGTTTCACTCCAAATAAGATCAGCTGTCCCAGAGTTTAAAGATAGGTCCGAGCAGAGCAGGACAAGTAATTATTTTTTATTTGGCCAGAGGGTACTGTGTTTCGCTCATTTGGGGTACGGTGAATCCCAGCTGCGGTAACTGCTACTCTCTGCCCTCCCTAGCAGACACGGCACACACCCGAGCAATGGGTGAGACAGCAACTTTGTGGACTTGGACGTCGCCTTTGTTTCTGTTATGGGAGCCAGCGGACAGAAAGGTTTTCCTCTTCATTTAGTTCTGTTGGCTCTGTCCAACCATTTTAAGGGTGACGCCTCCCAGATGGATTTATTTTTGAGGTTGTTTTTTGGTTTTGGCTTTTCTTTATAAAGAAGTTTAATTCAGCTACTGAAATACACAATCCATTGTTAACGGAAACCTACTCAGGGGTTACTTCGTTGAAGTTAGTTTTCCTACTGAGTTATTAAAGTGTTATAAAAGACTCTCTCACTCCATCTTTGGGCTTATTGCATAAATGCAGCTGAGTGCCAACGCTGCACAAAGAGAGGGCTCTGGAACAAACGAGTTTGCAGTCTGGCACATGCCTTCAAGGAGTATTTGTAAGACACCGTGGCCTTAAAGCAACTCTTATCTCTATTAACAGCCTTTATTAGCAGCACTGACCAACTTTTTTACTATTTGCATTGCGTGTTATATTTAAACAGCTTGCTACATTTAAATAGTAATAAAAAGCTGGTCAGTTTGGTCTTCTTGTTGAGTGTTGTATACTTGAGATTTTTTTAGTCAAAGGCAGAGGTGAGCTAGGTCAGTCTTTGAAAGTAGAGGCAAGCAATTCCGTTACAGGCAAACACATACTTATTGACACAAATGCACAAATCAAGTCTTTGCAGATATAATTTAGATAATACAGAGAAATTACTGCTTAGTGTAGCTTTAAGTTTATTACACATTATTTATCTCCATAAAAACATTGCTCCAGCTTTGCACATGCTGCATTGTCTGCCTGTAAGTTATTTGATTCGATGTTTAGCTGTAACTTTTCAATTTTAGCCCAAATCTTATTTATTATCTTGTCACCCGAGAGCATTTCCGCAACTCTCATCAGTACCAAGCATAGAATTAGAATGAATAGTTCCTGAATTCAAAATATAGGAGGGTTTATATCAGGATATTTCCCCGAGTAGCTCAGAAGGATAGAATTTATTCCATCTGTCATTTTGGTCTATAGCAAAGTTCATTTCTCTTGATTCCCTGGCCTATTTAGAATTTGATGAGTTATTTTAGGTAGTTTTCTTGGGTTTTCCTCATTTATATTTTCACAGCTGGAGTTAGCAAGTTTGGGTAAGAAAGTTCTATTAACCTTTTTGTTATTCATGCTAGAATCCTTGGATTAGTCTGTGGCATTTATAACGTGAGCAATATTGTATCGGGGAATGGTGATGTGTATGTGACATGTATGTGATCTGTACAGTCTGTCAGGTCTTTGTATGCCAGCAATAGTTTATGCCCATGCAGAACTGTATTTAGCTCCAGATTAGCCCTAGTGTTTCCACAGCTCCACACGGAAAAGCTCTCTGTGGATGAGGGAACAGACCATACCACTGTATCAATACCTAAAAAAGCTTTTGTACCTCAGCAAAATGGAAAGATAAACGCCACATACAACACCTAAATAAAGCAAAGAGGACCAGATCTGAAATTTCCTAGGTTTTTAGCTTTTCTATGCCAGTGCAAGAATATCACACAAATATGTAAAAAGTTTTTTGATATTACTTTACCATATCATGTGAACAAATCAATGGAATGGAATAAATCAATATTCCTTCTTAGAAGGCAGCAGCCTTCCTCATACTTCATTATCATAATCTGTGAGATTCTTTGAGCAATTGACTCTCAGAAGCTGCTAGTTACGATCATCACGGGTAGAGGTGACAGAGATACCTGTAGTTATGTTTGCCAGATGCTCACATAATTTCCTGTTTTGAACCCCTTACAGCTTCATCAAACCTTAACTATTTGTTTAGAGATAACTCTCTATCTCAGGCTCAATTCATGGTTTCAAGCTTTTACCAAAATGAGATTAGAAAACGTGAAGCACTTTTTCAAAGGCTTATTTCTTCTATGCAGAATCTTTTCTTTGAAGAAGTTTTATGCAGAAATGTGAAGCAGACCTTTATCAGAAGGACACAAACACAGTCACTTAACTGACTGCTCTGCCTCTGGGAAAAATGATGTGGATGTAGCTCTGGCAAATCAACAGTATGTGCTTGCTATGCTGTCATTAAGAACATGCTAGTAAAATTGCTGAACTTTTTACTTTCATTGAGTACCTTCCATTTCCTTTCTCAGTAGTAATCATGTCGCTCAGATTCCCAGAAATGGATGGAGAAGGTGTGAGGGATGCAGTAGTCAACACCACGTCCTTCTCTGGGCCTATGCAAGGGGCAGGGAACAGATCCGTTTCAAGCTCTTGTCTATTCTAGGGTAACTGCCTGCTTTTAGCTTATGGCAGGTACGAGGAAACTTATCTCTCTAGCATAAACAATTTGTGTAGACCTTGGACCACAAAACCTTATGTGACAATGGGCAGGAGAACTTGCAACCCCTACAATCGACCTCTGATGTGTGGAGAAATGCTGAGGTTCACAAGCTAACAGAAACGTTGTTGTTCATTTTACCTTAACTAGACCTGGATGGAGACCCACAAATGTCTATCTAGTTCAAAATTTCCAGTAGCTGTTCTGACTTCAGACATGGCAACTCTATCTACTCCAATGCTTTGAGTAAATTATCTAATGTATGATGCAAAGGCTTCAAATTTGTATATAAAGGGGGTTTTTTTGGTGAAATATATGCGGTTGTTTTAGAGTTTGGCTTCATGGGTGGTTGTTTTGGCCACTTACATCCCAGCGTTGCTCAGCATTGCTGTTTTCCGTTCTGCCTTCCAGGATAGCAAACCTCACTGCCAGTCTGGTATTACGGCTGTGGAAAAAGGTAACCCCAGCTCTCTCAGACTAGCTAGAGTAAGAGCATGCCTGTGACCATTAACCTGTGTGGCTAATGGTCCGGCTCACCTCACAAGTAACTTGTTCATATGACACCACCTATTTGGTCGCGTCATTTTGCGATATACCAGAGAGCTTGCTCTTATATTAAAAGAAGGGTTCGTTTTCTTATCTGCAGAATGTTTTCATGGCTTCTGTAGATGCTGCCATATGTGTGTGAAATCCAGCTGCCTCCACCGTCCTCATTCTCTTACAGCTTCACAACTCTTGTCAAAGCCACTTCTTTTGGGATAATAATTTTTAGCTTGGACACAACCTAAAACTGTTAAAGTTGTACATGTGTGAACATGTGAACATGTAGCCGGAGGTATTCCGGCACTCAACTTGTCCTTACTCAAAGCAGAAATTTGTCATTAAGGAAATGAAGGAAAGGATAAAGAACTTAAGCACGTGTCCTTATACCAAGTGTATTTGTGAGACCACATTTTTCCACTTAAAATTCAAGCTGCATATCAAAGCTGCAAACATTGTACTACAACTTGTCATATGAAAGACTGTGTACGAGCTTTTAGGCTCCATAATTTATTCTTTGACAGATAACTGATAGAGAAGGGAACAGTATTATAAGAAAACGTAAGAATGACTTTCAACCTAAAATCATATCCCTGAAATTGCCAACTCTTGATTGATATTGCATTAATGCCACGCTGTGCCTTGTAATATATTTTTGCAAAAATGAAAACAATCTGTGCAGGCTCAAAAATTCCGTTAAGGGAATATGAGGTTTTAGTAACCTTTTCTTCCCCTTCCTGAATTCTTTTTCCAGTCAGAGTAACTGATTTTGTATCAGTCTAATACAAGGTCACACTAAAACCCAAGTAGGTGGTTCTTGCTAGGAAGAGGCATGTACGTTCCTGCTCAATTTTACTCCTGTCTGTTGAGTCTACATGACAAACTGCCTGGCGCTTACTGCTTCTTGCTATCCTGATTCTTCGCAGTCCTGAACAGAGCACTCCTTTTTTTATGTTCTTCCTTTGCAAGAACTGGGATCTGAGAAGGAATTGTTTCCCAGCGAAACTGAAATTTACCCCTTTTCTAAGCAACTCCTCAATTAGTAGCTGATTGCCAACGAGTGGAGCTGCCTCCTGCTTGGAGCTCTGCTGAGCTCAGTGGCAAGAGTCCCTTTTCCCATGTGATTCGGTGGAGCTCTGTAGTGACCCTGACATTGTCTCAGCGTGCGTATTTGCAAGACGGAGGTCTAAACGCAGCTGTAAATATGCATTCTTTAAATCATCTTTAACTAGAGAGATCCCAAAGACTCAGTTAAGAAAAACAGACACCTAGAGAGTAATTCTAGCACCTCTTTCCTCTCTGAAGTGCAGAGAGTTGAAATTTTGCATCTTTGAACCTCAGCAGGGAAAAGAAAGAAATGGATATGTCTCTTTGCCCACAACCGAGCATCCTAGCTTTATTTATGGCTCATACTCTGCTTACCTTTCATTCTTAATGTGCATACAGATTAGCAACTCTCATTATAAACAAAAGATTTTTTTTCCCCAGAGACTGAGAGAATCCAGTAGAGAAAAACAAGGCAGTAACTCCCAGGCTTGGAAAACAGAAGATGCTTTGTGATTTTCAGCTCCAGTGCTGATTTCTGGTTCGCAACCCTCTTTCTCTTGTCCCTTTTTACACAAAGCTCTCCCCCTTCTCATCTTAAGAGGCCAACCTGTAGGTCCAGCTTCTTTTGTGGTTCTTCTTCTCTGTGCACTCTCTAATATTCATTCTCTCATTCTTGCTCATTTCCTACTAGCAAATCACCACACTTAATCACTGCTTTGCCCAAGCCACATTCTGTGGGTTAAAGAACGAGCAGAATAATGAGCAGTAAGGGATGTGCCCACACCAGGCCCAACACATGGAAGGCAATGATGGAGGCAGGAAGGGGAATGGTTATTGTAGCAGTGTGTTATGCTTCCTTTACGTTAGCCTTGGGAAGTTCTATCCTACTTGCCTAGGGCAAGGAAGTAAATTTTGTGCCTGAGCCACTAACTTCTCCTGACAGTCTCACTGGGCTGGGTAATACAAACAGTTGGACCAGTGCTTACAGTTAACTTACGGCGTACCAGTTCAGGTTGGTTGAGCATTTCTACTGATGACTTTAGAGCTCCCAGCAGGGGCTGTACTGCAACCAGCCTGTATGTAGGCACCAAGCGAATGTTAAAGACATCTTGAAAAATGGCTGAAAACCACATCGTCCAGAGAGTGCCTACATGTGCCTCTTTAGCAGAGCTTGCTGTCTTTGATGTGCAGTTCTTCCTGGACACACAAGTTTTACCCACATTTTTATGTAAGCAGGGCAGGGAATCAGTGATTGTATGGCAATCAGAGCTGTCCCATGATTCTGCTGCAAATCCTACAGTATTTGGTGTTTTCATTCGAGTCCCTGGTGTTACGGGATGACGTGAATATTTACGGAGGCAGAAGGAGAAGGGCAAGGTAAATTTTTATCCTTCGTGTTGCAGGACAGTGACTCGCTCTCTCTTTTTCCCCTTGCAGGTATGACATCATGAACCTGCAGTACATAGAGCCCAACCGCTACGACTACGTCCTCATTGGGACCTGGCACGAGGGCGTGCTCAACATCGACGACTACAGGATTCAGATGAACAAGAGTGGAATGGTGCGATCGGTGTGCAGCGAGCCTTGCTTGAAGGGCCAGATTAAGGTGTGCCTCAGACGCTTACTTTCGGCTATAGAAATGTGAATAACCAGTCAGTGTTTTTTCCCTAAACCCAGGCAAGCTTCTTTCAAGCCAAGGGATAGGACTTCCTTTTCTTCAGGAAAGCCAAAAGTATAAAAAGACTCCTAGACTAACATCTTACTCTTGCAATCCCATATACAGGCCCATGTTTTCTAAAATTGCCCTTTGTAGTCATGCAGAGTCTTCTAGTGTGACAGGATTTGAATTTCACCTTATGAGAGAAAGAACAAGATTTTCACTTAGTCATTGCCTACCACAGCCAGTGGCTGTGATTCACTTGCGGGCTGATCCTGAAAATAATGTGACCCATGGGAATCCAGTGTTTTGTTCCAGCAATAACACCTGCAAGAAAAAGGGGGAAAAAAAAAAAAAAAAAAGCCTATTTGTATCTTTGTTTCTCATGTTCACAACAGGAGGTATGGAAACACAAATGAAATCACTCTGTGTTTACCAAACAGTAGCACTTCTATCAACCTACAAATAATTTGCCACCTGCCATGTCTGGATGACATAAAGACATGTTCCACCACTATCAAAATGGTATGGATGCAGTAAGTTTAAAATGGCAAGAAGCCCATCCAGGAAAATCACCTTAGGGCAGACCTTCCTTTCTAATTTCATTTAATAAGCACATTTGCAGCTTTTTAATTCTATATTGCTACTCTAAGCAATAAGTGATTGATGATTTGGCAAAGGCGTAGTGACATACTCCAACAATCTTGGAGGGGAAACATTATGGGTATTTACTACCCTCCAAAACATCTTTTCCCTGTTTTTGAGATTGTGCAGTTTGTGTATGTGTGTATATGTAAACACCATGCATACAAAATGCCAGCTTCGGCTCCCATTGAAGTCTATTGGACTCTCTCCACAGACTGCAGGAGGAAATGTTAACAAAAAAGCCCACAAAGCCAGCATTCAATAAAACAAACATTTCGTATTTCACTACTGCACTTAGCTCTGCATATAGATGGAAAGGAGGATCCTGGAGAGAAGGCTGGATTCCTCCTTTGTGGCAAACAGAGCCAGAGTCTTTGTTGGAGCCCCATGAGCTGGAGACATCCTTAATTTTTCTTTCAGCCTCAATATGATGAAACTAGCAGTCAAGACGAGGAAACTATCTTTTCAACATTGGATCATTACACTTAGCAGCCTTCACGGCAGAGAAGGATACAGCTTTCAGCGACATTTGTCTCCAAAAGAGCTGTTCAAAAGCATGCTCTTGGTCACCACATACTGGTTTTATTTTCTACTAGGACCCTTTACATCCTTTCAGAAGTAGATTTTTTAATTTGCTCTTGTTTGAATTTCTATTTTCACTAGTGTAATGAGCCCCAAAGGGACTTCAATGTAAATCAGAATTTATGTGTGTGTGTGTGTATATGTGTGTGTATGTGTGAATCACTCTTTGTTCTAACCTTTGACTTTGTTTAGCGCTTTTTACTATGCAATAGATAATAAGCGTGGGCTGAGCTACTTGTTCTGACCTGAACCATCTCTCAGATTAAACCTCTTCTCAAGTTTAACTGAAAATATAACACTCACCATGCCTCGGTACCAAAGGGAAAATGGTTTTGTACTTTTAACTCAGAACTGCTCCCCCCAAACAAAATAGAATTGCCCCCAGAGATCATCCCTGAACTCCTAAGCACAAATTTTAACATGCAGGGGTAGATATAGAATCAGGATTCATGTTTTCTAGTTGTTTGAAATGTGCCGTACACAGGAATCCTGTCATTGGAACAGTGCAGGTGGTACCTGTTTGCTGGGGGGGCTTCTGTGGTGTCTTACAGAGGATCATAGCTGAGGATGTGTTTTGCATTACAGGTGATCAGGAAGGGAGAAGTGAGTTGCTGCTGGATTTGCACTGCTTGCAAGGAGAATGAATTTGTTCAGGATGAATTCACATGTAAAGCCTGTGAGCTTGGCTGGTGGCCGAACGCTGACCTGACAGGTAGGGACGTGTCCCTCCAAAAGCATTCCCATTTGACAGGGCACAAGGTGAACGGTGTGTGGTGGAGAGTAAGGTGGCAGCATGCAGAGATGTTAAAGGTACACACTTAAACACACATATCGATGCAGTTTAGGGTGAGTGAAAAGGGCAATGTCTTTTGGCTCAGTTCAACAGCAGTGACAATAAAGACGGCAAAATTTGTACCAAGAAGAAATGACGTATTCTGTCTGTTCCTCCCCTTCAGTTAACATAAGCAGTACTAAAGCTGTTAATACTACTAATGAACTTAGCAGCATTTCCTGCAATTTTAGCAGTGATTATCGCCAGAGCTCAGTGCATCCTTGTCAGATTGACTTGATACTCTTTCTGATCATTCTACCATGCAACTAGTAATACTTTGTCTGGGATTTCAGTGCATTCAGTAAATGACTACCAGACTTTTGTTTGGTATAAAGATCATTTTCACTGCACTCACCAGAAAGAGGAACATCAACAAAATCCGAAGAAAGGCTAGCAGAAGAAAAAGAAACAGCTAAAATTGGTCTCCCCCGTGTACATGCTTTGGAGGAGTTGTATGCTATGGCATTCTTCTGTTATTTTGTACCTATCAAGGTCAACCTCCACACCTGCTCTGAGCTTTGCAGTAACCATGACCCCAGGAAAAGAGATTTAATGCACTGAGAAGCACCACTTTGACCTTGGGGTTTGCTTTGTATCACTGTAAAAGACTACAGGCACCTCTGCCCTATGCTGTATCTGCAAATCTTGGCTACCAGTATTCAGCAGGACATCGTTCCTAGTCAGAGCAACAACCTGACTACCTAGCTGAAGATCAAAACTGTGCCTGTTGCTGCAGCATTTAACACATAGACGAAGTACTCAAACCTTGATTAAATAGTTCCAAGAGATAATGTTAAGCTAGTCACTGGAGGCAAGTGAGCTTTGGAGGATTTGTTTTGAGAAGCAAAGCTGGCCACTTCTCCAGCTAAAAATATATTATTAATCACAGTGAACTGGGGAACTTGACCCATTGTCTATCTTGGTTTTCTATGGAAAATAAGCTATGGTCACGTCCCAGGTATGTGTGTATCTGTCTATATCCCATGCCTCTCACCCTAAACCCCTCTCTCTCTCTCTCCCCCCCTCCCCAGTGTGCAACTGAATCTTCTTCAAACTGATTTGTCAGGATACAGAAATCTCAGTGCTCATTCAGTTCCTTCAAGTTTTGTGTAAGCGGGTTGTAGGAAGTGGAGTTCTTGAAAAATACCTTCTGCAAGAGCCCCAGTTGTGGAAAACCATCTTGTATTACTGGACACCTAAATGTCCTGACCATTAGCAAAGCTCACATTCAACTCCCACCACCTAGGACACCAGTGTCTGCTAATTTTAAAGCAAATATCCATACACAACCAGGTTCTGTTAGTCTTGGAGGTTCACAGAACTGTTTGTATCTGCTATTCAGGGAAGAAAACTGGGACTTCTTTTTAATCAATATGGCAGGACAAGAACCTAGTGAGAGATCAATGTGCACTTGAGCAAATATGGTTCAGTGCTACCAGCTGCCCAAAATAGCTCAAAAGGGGTCATGTCAAAATGACAGGCACTGCTGAAAGGAGTTTAGGAAAGCATCAGTGCTGGAAAAAATCTCAGGGGCATGTTGCAATCTATTAACTTTTAATGAAATCAGTAGATGACCTGCTGATTTGTGTTTCTTCTCAGCAAGGAGACTGGACTGCTGCTGTTCCAAAATCACAGTAGTGTCAGCCAAATGACAGCATAGCCATCGACTGATTTCCTAGAGAACATTAAAATGGCAGTCTGCTCTTGCACAGCTTCTTCAGTCTGTCTTATTGACAAAAAAACCTTCTTTTTTTAACCCCTGCAATTCATTTACTTGAATTGTAGTATGAAATTGTGAAGAGAAGCTGATGCCATCCTGACCTTTAGAAAAGGGAGGCTGAGCTAGATAAACTCTGGCTCTTTAACTTCGTGGGAGTCACTATTGGTACCATTTAATTTGGAATTCTTTTTTCTTGCCAGGATTTCTCCTATCAAATGTGTTTTTATAGCTTGCTTTTGTGTGCTGTATTCATATCCTGCCAGTCACCATGGCATCTAGACACAGAGGTTAACATATCACATTTCAGATTGTTTTTCCCTTTGCCTTAAATCTTAAATGCTAAACGTGTATGCAGTTTTAGTCTCATTTTCCATTACAGATGGAGGCTCTAAAATCCTTAGTCCCTTTAAGAAACGTGAAGCACATACTAAGCCATTTCCTAAGACATGCTTTTCAAGGTGCTCCTTCTCTCTGTTTGAAATCAGTCTCTGTTGCTCAGCAATCCTTTCCTGACATTTTAATTTTATTTTTAAATGTACTTTTTTTTTTTAGATTGTTTCCCCTAAATATGTATTCAGTGAAATGGAGTCAGCAGGCACAACGGTTTTCTCACCACAGATGATAAAAACCTGACCTGACAAATAGTCACTAAACCCAGTAGCTAAGGCCTTGTGCCAAGAAGAAGAGATATCTTTTATAGTATCAGAATCTAATATAAGAAGAACGAATGTCAAGCTAGTAAACCCAGTTTACACAAATCATCTTAAATAAGCAATAAAACAAGACAGGACAGGAAGTTTTATAGAGTTATTATGAAATGAATCATAAAGGTTTGGGGCCATCAGTTACCTGGGATGTGTTAATGACCTTAGAAAACATCCTGGATTGTCTCATTGGCCTTGCAGTATGAATATAATTTTTTTTAAAAAATCATTAAAAAATTGATTAGCCTTCTGCTCTAGGAAATGATTCATGGTGAAAGTGCAAGGAAAATAGTAGATGAAAGTTACCACACTGCTTTTTATTAGAAACTTTTAACTGTGAAGCTTTTGCCACGAATTCTCTGGGTTTTCTGAGGTTTGGGTTAGTTGTTGTGGGTTTGGGGGGGATTTTTGTGTTGGTTTTTTTTTTAAAACCTTGTTGTGGTTTAACCCCAGATGGCAACTCAGCACCACACAGACACTCACTCCTCCCCCCCGCAGTGGGGTGAGGAGGAGAATTGACAAAAGGTAAACCCCATAGGTTGAGATAAGAACAGTTTAAT